GAAGTGAAGGTTCGGAGAGGAGCGAGTTCACCTTGTGTCCAATGGCGTATAGTTGAGGTCTCGTCATAAGTCCACTTGGGGTTTAGAGAGTAGTCGGAGTGTACATGGGGATGAACGTGGGATGCTCCGCATCACAAAAGGTGTTGTATCAACCGCTTGTTGAAGAGTGATACTCCCTCTGGATAGGAATATAAGCCGGACATGAGATTTTAGGTCATCAATTTAACTAGTAGCAAAACATGTGTCATATACCAAAAAAAGTAAATGTTTTAAAATTTCAATCGACAACAAGTCCAAAGATTTTCTTTATGACATACAACACATGTGGGCGCTTGCGTCTGTACTGTGTTTAAAGATAGAAAATAGTTAAATTGAAGACAAAAAAGACCCAAGCCAAGCTTATATTCCCATCGGAATACACCTTTTCTTTAGATGGTTTATTCCCATAGAAGAACATTGACAGCCAGGTGAGCCACCGTGCTCGCGCGCGTATGCACCGTGCACCTACCGCAGGGCAGTTCGAGCCTGGCACGCACCCAATACGACTCCAACCCGAAACAAGAATGTTCGTGCGTCTTGCTCCCTTTCTTCTTGGTCGGCGGCGGGAGCAGCAGCAGTAGCCGTGCGCGCCCCCGCGAGACCTCCTCCTCTCCCCTCCTCCCCGGCCAAGCCGCCGCCCAAGCTCGGGTCCAGGTACATGGCCTCCTCCGGCACCGGCGCCGGAGCCGGCCGCGTCCGCCTTGCGGTCGTCGGTGATGTGGTACTCTCCCTCCCTCCCCCTCTTATTAAAAGTTGAATAAAACCGCTAACCCTCTATTTCCTAGCGGGCGTGCTTCGGGTCGTCTTGACTGGCATGGATAGTTGTGGTTCTTCATGGGGTTGGTACGTGTAGTGGATTCTGAGCAGGGCAGAGGTGAGGATTGTGCACCGAAGTCTCTGCTCCTTAGCCTGGTTAATTCAGTTAGGCTCCGTTTTGGGTGCAACAAGGGGGGTGCAGGTTCAACGATATCTGTTTTTGTTTGCGAATTGCGAGTGGTGCATTTGATTGTCTGTTAGATAGGTCATATAGGACGATGAGTTGGATGTTATGGTTGCTGTATTGAAGATAGGTTGTGGTGTCTATATGAACTAATATTATATTTATGTGTGA